ATGTTATCCCTCACCATCTGACATGAATTATAGTGGTTCACTGGAAAAGTAAAAACTAAACCCTTAATTTTGGAAGCACGAAGGATACTTATTAATATCTTGGTGTTCTACTAAAACACAGCTATGCTGCAAACTATTTCTGACTTTGTCTTATTAAAACACAGTTTTGATCATATTATAACCTGCATCTAATTAACACTGGCTTCCCACTGAATCTCAAATTAAAACTGTCCATCATCCTAACATTTAATAACTCTCACACTTTTTAAATGTTATTTTATAGGTTTCTAAAAAATACAAATGATTTTTGTCCAATTCTCATATACTGGCTATATGATCTTAAGTAAGTTATTCAACATCTCAGCATTTTCATTTCCAAATATACATGATGTGAATAATATTAGCATCTAACTGATAGTAATTAATATGCATGTTGCTAAAAATAGGCATATGTAACACCTTGTCTCACTCCTGAAATATCCTCTTTAGTGTCAGCTATTCCATCTATCATTGTGAAGTTCTTCAGTCATTCACTCATGTACTGCCTTCAGAAAACTAAAAAAGACTGCGGTGATTATCCTCTCTAACATATGTTCCTCACTAATCTACTCTTTTATTACAGCTATTTCTTCTAAAATAAATCTTTTTCTTTATTCATGCACATCAAATTATTGTATTTCTGTCAACCCAAGAGTAGAATAAAATGCCGTCAATTTTTTTGGGTATTTATTTTTTACAACACAGTGTTTCTCTTTGTAGCTTTGGAGCCTGTCCTGGAACTAGCTCTTGTAGACCAGGTTGGTGTCAAACTCACAGAGATCTGCCTTCCTCTGCCTTCCAAGAACTGTGATTAAAGGCATGTGCCACTACCACCTGACTGATATTTGGGTATTTAAAAAAAAAAGAAGAAGGATAGTCAGGCAGTGGTGGCACACATCTTTGTTCTCAGCACTTGAGAGGCAGAGGCAGGCAGATCTCTGTGAGTTCAAGGCCAGTCTGGTGTACAGAATGAGTTCCAGGACAGGTAGGACTGTTACACAGAGAAACTATTTCAAAATAAGTATCAAGATTTTTAGTATCCATGGCATGGAACAGCTTTTGTGAAAAGTATCAACCTCATTATAAGAGAATAGATATTTGAGGACATACCTTAATCTCTCTAACAGCTTTAATCTTTATTGAAGGCTCATTGTTGGACTGGTGTCTTCAAAGAGTTAATATCTATAAACACTAAATAAACTTGTTAACCACACAAACCATATTTGCACGAAGATCAAGACAGAATAATTGTATTATGAAAGTAAAAACAAACAAACAAAAAAACCAAAGCAAAGTATAGTTTAGATAAATAATGTAATGCTTCTTGCTCAACCCAATATTGCTTTTATTGGATTTTCTTTACGTAATTTGTGTGAAATTTTAATTTTATAAACGAATGGTGATATGTCTTTATTATTATTTACTTCAGTAAGAATTAAATGGAGGAGGAAGAGAGAGATTATTGTGATCATTATATTAAAGAAAAAGTTATCCCTATATATTTTAATGTTTTGGGGGTAAGAGGAATTGCTGGAGGTCAGACTCAGAGTATCAGCAATGCTTTCAAACTGCCCTTCTCCTGAGCCAGGTTCCAGTCCAGCCCTATTTTCTTTTCACTTTTGGGTCATTACTCTCCTAGATATGTTTGACATCCTAGTGGAGAGGCTGATTCAATCTGGCTTCCTTCTCTAAGGTGGAGTGTTGATAACTGGTGCTTTCTTCAGTTTCAATCTCCTCTTTGTGAAAGGTTAATGTTTATTACATCTCACTAAACTTTGATTTGGGTATCCCTGTGACAGAATTCATCAAAAGTGTTTTCCTACTACTCCTTGGAGAAAACTTACAATTGATTCTAAGAATGACACCGAGTAATGGCATTGCATTATTCTGGGTAGCTTTTCATCTTCATTAGTGAAGCTCTTCAGTTGACTGTGGAGATCAGGGAAAGTGCAAGTGGGCACACATAGTAGTCTTTACTGTCATTGCTGGCTTATGCCATTAAATCAGTGTGATATCGGTCCTTCAATTCCAGTGATATTCAACTTTTCTGTATTTCAGGGGCTTTTTTTCATTACACCAGCTATTATATTCATCTGTCAAAAGAAACAGCAAATAGCAGGATATATAAATATTATTTGAAGCAGTTCATAATTAACATTCTACATATCCTTCCTCCAGTATGCCATTTGCATTTCTTAGGCCAAACTATACAAATTATGTCAGATTAAACACCATTTCACATTTTTGGGGGGGTGGTATTATCTGTTATCCTGAAAGAAGGATTTAAAATTTGTAGTGTGCATTTTTAATTAAAATAATTAGTCATCTGGTTAATTTAAAAATCATTTACAAGAATTAAATATATATGTCAAATAAGTGTTCTTATGTTGACAAATATTAGGGGAGTCTAGCATTCCATCATATTTCTAGCTAGCTAAGAAGTGGTTGTCAAAACTAAGATTTGCAAAAATCTCTATAGCAAAGGAGCTTTCCACAGAAACTCACTTGAGTGTGAGGCAAACTCTCTAAGTTCATTTCAAATGTCACAGGAAGACAATAAGCACTGACATTACTGTGAGCATATCTTTGTAAATCTGATAACAAGGACATCTCAGACTCTGAAAACTGAGAAATCTGTAATCTCACATGTTTCACAGATTCCAAGGTCACAAAGAAAGGATCAATCTAAGAGTATTAAAGAAAGACCACATGTGGATTCTGAATGTCGAGGGCAAGTGTAACACAGTCTCATTGTAGAATTAAAAGATTTTCAGAAAAGCCCAGTGGCTAATAGTGCTCAGATATGTTGTGTTGACAAGGTTACATTAAGCAGAGATACTGTACACTTGTCTTAGGTTCCTGGGATATTTCTTTGTTGTAGAAATCATCTCAGCAATTTTGAGGTTTCCTATCTGTTGGCTCATGTTAAAGCACTTCATGTACTCGATGTTGGGCTATTAAGTTTATAGTGTCACTGGGCATTTTGTTGTCATTTTCTTCACTACTTTCTTTTATTATTTCATTATAGCAAAGTTTAGGGTCTTTTCAAATATAAAACTAAGCCTATGTCTTTATTGAGGTAGTTTCTGAAGGATGTCAATAATGAAATACATTGGACTTAATTCTGGGATTGGCCTTTTTAAAGTTGTGAGAAAAAACACCAGATACAAGAGAGAGCTCTTCTAACTGGAGTACCCAATTTCACTATCATCAACATAAATAACAAGGACCATTAAATAACACTGATGAGAAGTTTAGATTTATATAATTGCACAGATCAACATTTAATAGAGGCATTTTTTTTTCTACTTCACAGTGCTCAGAATGATCGCTTGGTGTTTGTGACTGTTTTGAATATTCAACCTTTTTCTGTATTCTTTCATAGACTAATTTATATGTTCTATATGTTTCTATTTAAGATTCACAAAATGTTTCTAAAGTATCCTGCAGTATAAAGATTATTATATTTGTTTATCTGAACACTGTATTATTCAGTCTTCTTCCTAGATGCTAGAAAGAGAACAACTCAGGTATACAAATAAATAAGTAAGAAAGTATATATGCTATAGGAGTGATAAGAAAGAAGTATTTTATTTTAAAAAAAGGAATGGAGAAGGAGGAGACTTGCAATTTTAAAAGACATAACAAAAATCCTCTTCATAAAAGTGGCTTCTTAGTATGGCCATAATGAGGTAAGAAAGCAGCCATTGTATAAGAAGATGGTACTCTAGGAAAGGATCTGTGTTATTCAGTGTCCCTCACTTATGCAAGGAACACCACAGAGTGCAGCCTTTCTAGAACAAGCAGACAATGGACAATAGTACTAGGGACACGAGGGAAACGATATAATGAAATCTAAGAAAGCTCTCAAGACCTGTTACTGGTCGTAATTTTGTTCTATGTGGAGTGAACTATGGGAGAAATAAAAAAGAAATTGGTATTATCTACACTGTGCTTTGCTGGCATAATTATGGCTGGTGTGATGGAACACCCTAAGAGGAGCCCCAACAGACGGAGGGAAAACATCTGGAAGGTCACTAGAATTAGTCAGGAGAGAGATGCTGGCAACTTGACACCGGATGTGGTGGCAGTGGCTCTGGTTAGGCTGGGAATTCACTTCCACATACGTTTGAGACATCAGAGCCAAAAAAATTTAGTGATACATTGCCTAGGGCTCATAACCAGAACTGAAATGGTAAGTTCTGTATTCTCTACCACTTAACTAACAAAACTAGTATAGTCATGTAACTAAGCTCTGGGAACACTTGTTTTCACGAGGAGTCTATTACCACCTTTGAACGTCATTAGAAGTCTGGGCAATTTCAGCATGCCCATCAAAAGCACATCAATCCTATCATCACCCAAACTGCATTGCATAAAAGCATGGTCTTGATCAAGTTTGTTTTACATCTAGAGTTTATTTATTTATTTATTCATTCATTCATTCATTTGGCTCTTTGGTCATTCTGGAACCATAGAGGCTAAGGTTGCAAATCATATTGCTAAGAAGCTGAGTTATCTGTGTTCCACTCCAGAGAGTCTATTTCTGACTTCACTTTCCAAATTCATGCCCTTGCTCATAAGGGAAGCTCAGAAACTATATCATGGGGATATCCAGATACATTGTGGTTGTTAAAACAAAAACAAAACTCACAGCATAGCACTTCCTCTATTTACCATTGATGAAAGTAAACAGGATTGCTTTCACATTAAGAGTATACATTATGACTTCGAGAATAATGGAAACAAGTGCTCAGACAAATACATTTCTCGAGAGAGTTAAATGACTCATGCAGTGAGGCAAATGTGCAGCTTATTAAAAAGGTCTTCATGCAAGCATTCTTTCTATTCCAATAATATATTACAAGTACAGGAGTAACTTTTAGTTGATAATGCACCATAAAAAATGAGACAAAATCAACCATCTCTTCATTAACTCGTGTTTTCTGTATTTTTTCTAGAACCTACAGATAGGCCACCAATGTTACTAATTGCAAGTCCTGAAACAGTTGAGGTCTTCTACATTAATGGAAGCAAAATGACAACTCTAAGCCCGGCCAACAGAAATAAAATACATGCTCTAGATTTTATTTATAATGAAGAGATGATTTGCTGGATTGAATCAAGAGAGTCTTCAAATCAACTCAAATGTGGCCAGATGACAAAATCGGGAAAATTAACAGATGAAAGAATTATTAACATTCTTCAATCCTTCCGCAGTAAGTCTTTCAATTTTTTGCATTGCCCTTCAAGAACTTCCATTACAGAGACGTACATGGGTTTCTTACCTCTCTGCATAGCCTACCTTGAAGTATTGCATGTGAAAATATGAATATTTTGGGTATATGTTTGTATGTCCTCACACATCCAGGTTCATTAGCTCCTTGTCCATAGGTACAAATTACAGTGTTTACTGTCATATTTTCTTTAATGCTGCTTGGAGGGTCACCTTGTTCATAATTGACATTTTTTTACAGAGATATAGTTCACAATGTGACTATAAAGATGGAATTTAAGTAAAAATGGAAAATAAGAAGCTTTGTTAATTGGCAGCTAGTTGTAATATTTACTTCAAATACATTGAAAACTGTTAGGTTTATGTGAGGTAGAAAAATATCTATGTTGAATTAAATGGAAGCAAATCAGTATGTAGTTATTATTTTTCCAAAATTTTACTATTGATGTGTGATCCATTTGGCTTTTCCTGACTAGTAATTATTCTTCTTTTTGCGCATAGTGCTACAAACTGAAGTCATATGGTTACACAAATAGGAACACTACATGCACTATATATCTTCCCCATTTCCACGTGGGCATAAAATGCACTTATATATGCCAGGGTTGCCTTGCATGAAAATTTTAAAATGTTACCAGTTATTTTCTCATGTGCAAAATAATGATCCCTTCATAAGACAAATAAAAATAATATCTACACTCAGAAAGAATAATCTAGCATAGAATAAATATAATTTGCTAATGAGAAATGGTTATTTGGATAGCCAACAACAAAGAAGGGGGTTTCAAGCATATTTCACACATGGGTTCAGGCAGGAATTAAATGTGACACAAAGAACCAGCTTCTTGCCACATTTTGATTACCCCATCTAATACAAATGCACTTGTCCCCAGAAATAGCATAAAGAGTGGTCAAATAGCCAGGATATTTGATTGCCATGCAAGACTGTCCCCATGCATACTTCAACACGCTTTTCTCCACATATAACATTTCCTAAAATTATTGATATCTTTTTTAATAACTATCAAATGAAACTGTATTTTATAAACCTGAGAAAAATAAAAGAATTGCGCATCATGGTAATTGTAAATATGCCTTTGTAACTTACTATGATTGGCTTTTAAAGCCAAAGTATCTATCCAAATAGAGATTCCTTTTGTTAGACCATTTATGAAATGGTGACTAGCATATTAATTTTGAACTGACGAAAAATGCACTTTAATTATTTTATTTAGAGTAAATAATTTTTATGAAGTTTGGTTTAAGTCATGTAATTGCTTAGTCACTTTTGATTTTATAAAGTGTTTAAATTTGAAGAAGCAATTTAATGATAGTGTGGACAGAATTGTGGGCAAGGTTGGCTGACCTCTAGTGATTGCAAGCTGTACGTTTTAGCAACTTGTCCTAGCACAGCTGCCATTGAATATTATGTGCTCCGCATTTACCAAGACAGTTTGTGAGTTCATAATGAAGTCTGAATATTCCCTGCATGTATAATTACTTAAAACCTCTGTCGTACCATATAAGTTAAAATAACGAACTAATGGAAGTCTGGTTGAATACATGTCAACATTGACTTTTCTAGAGATTATTTTTGCACTTTTTCAACCCTTATTTTTAGGTGCCTTTTATCTGAACTTTTATTTTAAAAAAAGAACACTTCCACTTTAGAAAACACTTTTAAAAACGTATTGCAAAAGTTTCTGTGCAAAAAAATCAACCAAGACAGATCAAATTTACTTGTGGTGGTTTTAGAGTCACTACAGATTTCATCTTTGCATATGCAATTCATCTCCAATTTAGCAGAATAGATGTGTCGTTTCCTCTTTATAATAGATAAATTTTTAACTAAGAACATCCAAGTGTTATACAAAAGTAAATGGTTAAAACAGACCTAGAAATCTAAACCTCATGTTTATTTGTTTGTTTGCTTAGTTCTATGCTATAAAAACAGAAATGTACCAAAATTACAAAGATTTTATTGATCTCGCTTAATTGTTATTTGTGTAATTGTAAACTATTGCTGTCTTCTTACAGATGGAAATTGAGGTTTTTGGAAAGCTGGATAATATCTTATGGAAACTATGGGCAGCTAGCTAGTATGGAGTTCTAGCAGATTTCATAGCTTTTCCAAGTACGTCTTTGGGTCTGCATCTTGATCCTCCATACTAAAAAACCACATGATTAGTCCCCTAATATTAGTTTCAAAAACTCATGATCTTTGAAGGTAGGAAAAGATGTAGAAATGGTGAATTATGTTCAAAATCTCCTATAAATGCTCCTTGTGTACTTCCTACAGATGTGTTGTCTCTTAAAGCTTAACACTTAAAGCAGTATTGTAGAATAATGAAAAGAGTGGACCGTACCATGCATAAGAAATCATATTAATTAAGGTACACTGGAGAAAATGATAGAGTACCTACCCTTTTACTGAATTTTAATTTTTTAAATATTTTTATGGTATCTTATATTTCATATTTAACATTTTATTCTCTAAAACATATACTTAGAAGATGATATTTGAATCAATTGATTTGCAAATAAACTTGATTTTCAGCAAAGTACTCTTACAAAATACATTTTTTGGAAATAGTTATTTTATAAAACTTTTATGAGAAAATACTCTGGTAGAAACAGACATCAAAATCAAACAAGCTGCTGATCCCATCAGAACACTGTATTCAGAAGTGAATGTAGTAAAGACAGTTTTGATTTATTTTATTATAAAAGATATATTATCATATGTACTTTTACTCTGTTGCTATATGTGATTCTAAATTTGCTGAATACTTTGAAAATCTATTTGCATATCTTACCATGGACGTAGCTTTTTCTCAGGATCCATTCTTGGGCTGAGGTCCAATGCAACAGAGTATGTCTAGTTAAATACATCATTGCCCATGCTTTGTGTACATTAACTTCTAAGCTAACTCCATGCTGCTTTTATCTTCTCTCTACACACATTTCTATAGTAAAATTTAGCTTCATTTCCATTTGACGATCTCTGTAAACCTAATAAATTAAATTCTAGATGGATTATTTTAAGTTTAAAAGTTGACTTTTGTTTTCTATATATCTTAGTTCTTTTCTGGTAACTCTGATCCATGGTCTTTTGGGAGGTAGTTTGGTAACTGCCCCTATTTTTCACTTGCAAACACCAGATATTGATATTGTTTATAATGGTCAATTGTCCTGAAAGTTCAACCCAACTTAGTGTTTTCTACCACTAAGCTGTGTCTCAATCACATATAGTATATTGAGGTAAGATGTAATTTCCAAGGTGTCTAATAGACAGGGCTAGCTTTGACATATCCTTCTTCAATATTCTGAGCATTTGGGATAAAGGTGTGTGTCACCAAGGCATATTACATTGTTTCAATTTTCCTTCCCATTGTTCCTAGTCTGGAGTTCACTCCAATAGAGAGGTGTCTGTTTCAATCTTTAAAATTCTGTTGAAATAATTATGATATCATTTAATGCAAAAATAGTACATCAGCTTCTTATTTCTCTTAAAAGTTAAAACAAGGCTTTACCTTCTGCTGCTCTGTGGGCAGCTGCCCTGCCCCGCTTCGCTCTTCCATACAAACCCTGTGTTGTACATGGGGATAGGGTTGGCAGTTTCTCTGATGCATTTTAGTCTCTGGTTTCATTCTTATGACATCACATTCCTTCTAAGCATATTCCAGCTTAGCAGCCTACACTAAACCTGCAATTTATGCTTTTATTTTTTTCACCAGAGATGAAATCCATGTGACAGTTAGTTGAGCATTCTGGTAGCAAGCACTAAGAGATTCAGGAACATATAGTAAGAGAATTGAAGAAATGACAGTGATGACCACCCTTTCATCGTATGCACATGGGGTTTTTAGAAAACAGCATTCTTTTTATTTTTTGGTTGTTCAAGTCTTTGCTGAGGCAGCTGCCAAGAAATGGTTAGCTTTTATCTGTTCAGAAGTTAGGACATATTTATTACAATATCTTGTGAAGTACAAGCAGTTAAAGTAAGTACTTTTATATTTTTCTGGCCAGAGAGTATATTGTACAGGAATATTACAACTCTATTCCCACATCTTCTATTGATAAACTTGTTTAGTGAGGAAATGCATGGTAGGATAAGTACTTTAAGATTTTTTAAAAATTCTTTTATATTTTCTGTTTCGCACATTTACATGTATTCATAAAGAGTGAACTTGTTTTTGTCTGAGACAAGAATTACCATTTAGATGTGTTCAGAGATAGTTGCCATACTTTGTTGTGTCAGGGAGAACAGACCATTCTTTTAAACTACCCAAAGATGCTGGCCTGAGACACAGTTCCAGAGAACTTTCAAGCTACTTTTTTTGATAATACATTCATACTATTTTCCTTGCCTTTTACAACATTATTAGACAAACTGGCTTTGAAGTTAGTCCTCCAAGGAGATTAAGTAGAGAGCCAGAAAAGGCCTTCCGAGGTGCCTAGACAGCAAGGAAAGCAAAGGAATAAAAAGCAAATCTTCTTCATACTCTGCTCTTCTATAAATTAGTCCTTCCTCTTGGTTCATTTCTGAGGTTGTCAGGCATAAAGACTGTGACGATGAATGCTATTTCTCAGAAAGCAAGCAACTTGAAAAAACAGAAACCGAGAATATAACAGACTTCAATGCCAACAGTCAGTTTTTCCTCTGCATTTGTTAAACTATATTTTTCACATACAAGACACGAAGACGCTCCATCCAAATTGTACTTGATGCTGTATCATTCTGTTAAATCCCGATTACTGAGTTTTCTCTCTAGATTCACCCATCGGTTGTTTTATATGCTTTTCAATAAGAATTGTGTAAAGCATTAGGTTTCATAATGAGAATTTTGCTCAAGTGTATCATGTACTATGACCATATTCCCTGTTCTATACCCTCTCCCGTATATCATGGCCATTGTTAGTCCTCACTACAATTTCTAAAATTCCCATTATTACCAAATAGTGTATATATATTAGTTATGT